GCTTTGTATCTCATGAATATTCATAACCAATATAAAAAAAAGAATATTTCTAATCAGAAGATGCCACCTAGGGAGTAGTTAATATATTAGTAGTGATGGATCAACTTGTCTTATACCTAGTTATAGCCAATGCTTTCTTATATATTACCACTTATTTATAAAAAAATTAATAATTTCTTGTGGTTTACCTTTAATATTTATCACACTTTATGCTTACCTGCACCTCACCACATGCAAATACATTGTTTTAAAAAGTTCGCTGATGCTTACAATGCACTAGAACAAGTGTATTACAAATATACAACAGCAATTTAAATAAACACATCTGAAAGTCAAGATTTATAAAAATATACCAAGAGTTGCTTACTTTTTAAATATACCGATCAAAATTGAACACCAACCAGCTTGGTACATTTTGGTGCACTGAAATTTTAAAAAACTTTTTGGCATATAAGCTGTCATGCAGTATGAAACACAGAAGTGTCTGAAGCATGAGGCTCTAAGCTTGATGAAGGTTTTAATTTTCATTGAATTTCTGGGCCTAACACAATACCTAGCATGTGAGAGCAATATCTAACCTTAAATGCTCAATATATATTTTTGAATAAATAGATAAATATTTATGTGGTGAAATAACAGTAATATTTTTAATAAACATATAACATGTCGATCCTTAATGCACATGAATGGCAGACAATCAACTGTTCATTCATGCCAAAAATATTTAAATATTTTCTATGTGCCAGGCACTGTTCTGAGCACTATAGCACTGAACTGAGACTACCAACACAATACTAAATGGACAAAAATCCCTACTATCATGTAGTTAACATCTAGTTAACTCAGTTGTGAGCTTTTTTCAGGTAACCTTAGGTTAAGCCTAGACTCTTTCTCAACAAAGGATTCCCAGGTAACTGCTACCAGTGGATCAGAGTTGGCACAAGAGATAAAATACATTTTTACACTACTGTTCTAAGTAAATTAATAGATCTAAAAATTTTATAGACCTTTCTAAGAATTTTCTAACTTAATACAAGAGTTAAATAGATATATATTTTAACCTGGTCATCTATTATGAAATTTGAATAACATTTATCATTTTATCAATTAAGAAGATACTGTTCAGAGCTCATCACTGTTAAGTGATGTAATGGGATATAACTATATTAAAAAGCATGGCCATTATGCTCAGAGAATTATTTATTTTACTGACAGGGTCTCCATAAATGCAACTAGCTCTAATTTAATGCTTTTTTGTTGTTATTTCACCCTAATATTATTTATTATTTAATAAACTCAATTCTCTCCCATAGTAGGGAATGTGATTGCCTAAGTTCCAAAATGTCAGAAACTAATGGTACAATGAGTTGCCAGCATAACTACAGAGAGAGGGATTATCTTGACATGATAATTTGACTTTTTATATCAAGTGAGATATACCTTAAGGACAGAAAAGCTGCAAAAAAATTTTTTTAACTACTGTTGTTGATTGTTTTGTTGGTATTGTTATTTAAGACTGCATGTATTGTAGGATGAGGTAACTGTGCAATAATATTGATGACACCGAAAAATAGCTTGGAAAGAAAGATAATTGTAGAAAAATCTAAAATAATATAAAGCTAAATTAGAATTATTAGGTAGATTCAGCAGTGTTAATATATAAAAGTCAATTACGTACATTTAACAAATAAATCAACAACAAATAAAATTCAAAGTAATAGATACCAGCTAAAATTCAACAAACACATCAGATACCTAAAAACAATTCATCAAAATATATACAAGACTTCAACACAAAGAAAAAGAAACTGTTATTAACAGTAATTTTAAAAGACCTAAATAAATATAGGTACATTTCAACAGTCACGGATTGAAAGCTGAATAAATATATCTTTTCTCTCCAAATCTATAGATTCAATGTAATTCCAATTAAAATTCCTACTGGTATATCTTATGAAAGTTGACAAGTTAATTTTAAAATGAATGTGGAAATGCAAAGGATCAAGATTAGCCAAGGCAACTCTAGAAGAATAGGATCAACATTGAAAGACTTATACTTCCAGGTATCAAGACTTATTATAAAGCTATATAATTGTGACATTGTCATGAGAATAAACAAATAGACCAATGGAACAGAATTAAAACTATAAAATATTAATGAAATAAATTGAAGAGGACACAAATAAATGTAAAGATATCCCATATTCATGGACTGTAAAAATTAATATTGTTAAAATGACCATACTACCAAAAGCAATCTACAGATTCAATACAATCCCCAGATAATACCAGTGGCATTCTTCACAAAAATAGAAAAACAATCCTAATGATCATATGGAACAACAAAAGACCCTGAATAGCCAAAGCAATCCTGAGCAAATAAAGCCAGAGGCATAACACTACCTGACTTCAAATTATACTACAAAGCTGTAGTAACCAAAACAGCATGGTACTGGCATAAAAATAGACACTGAGACCAGTGGAACAAAAAAGAGAACCCAGAAATCAACCTGCAGACTTACAGTCAAATGATATTTGACAAAGGCAACAAGAACATACATTGGGGACAAGACTGCCTCTTCAATAAATGGTGCTGGGAAAACTGGACAACCATAAGTGGAAGAATCAAACTAGACCTGCATCTCTCACCATATATCAAAATCAACTCAAAATTGGTTAAAGACTTAAGTATAAGACCTAAAACTATACAACTTCAAAACAAAAACATACAGGAAAAAATTCAGAAAGTAGGACTGGGCAAAGATATCATGAATATGACCCCAAAAGCATAGGCAACAAAAGGAAAAATAACAAATGGGATTATATCAAATTAAAAAGCTTCTACACAGCAAAAGAAACAACAGAGTGAAATGACAACCTACAGAGTGGGAGAAAGTATTTGCATACTATGGGTTTCACAAAGGATTAATATTCAGAATATACAAGAAACTCAAACAACTTAACAGTTACAAAACAAATAACCTGATTTTAAAAATGAGCAAAGTGGGCTGGCCCGGTGGTGCACTGCTACAGTGCGCTGCTTGGGAGCACGGTGGTGCTCCCGCCGAGGGTTCGGATCCCACATACAGACCGGTTCCCGCTCACTGGCTGAGCGAGGTGCGGACGCAACACCGAGGGTTGCGATCCCGTTGCCGGTCCAGTCCGGTACGGGCGCGACACTGAGGGTTGCGATCCATTGCCGGACACAAAAAAGACAAAAAGGAAAAAAAATAAAAATAAAAATAAAAAATAAATAAATAAAAATGAGCAAAGGAACTGAACAGACATTTCTCAAAGGAAGATATACACATAGCTAACAAACACAT